TCTTGTAAGTTCACGAAATGGCCTCCTAGATGGGTCGACACGTAAACGGAGAGTAACAGGGGGGGGGGGTGCAAAATAACCCATCCCCCTCCCCTGTCGCCGAACTGTCCCCAACCACGTGCTATGTAGGTCAAAAGCACTTGGTGAACCACTGTGCCCAAGTGGTAAACAGAGAGTAGGGGGGTCTGCAGGTTGCTGAAGCATGTTTATACTAGCGATCACATGGAGAAGCATCAAATCACTTAGCTTAATTGCTGAGTCGCCACACGCCGCCATCTAACCGGAAGTTGTCATAATCTTCCATCCTGTCAATGAAACGTTTGCAGGAATTGACCGACGCTGGCATAAGAAAGGATGACCCACGGCTGGCAAATGTGATTGCACAGGTAGGCTGTTATTCTGAAGGTAACGGATTGACAGAAGTACTGCTTTTCAGGTTCGAGAAGCTGAGCATGTGGACCAAGGTGTCTTCGATCAAGAGCATCTTTTCCTGGATAGAGAGGCATTCAAGATGTGAGTTTTCCACGATTCCATTATGTTATATTCACTTCATTGCCTTTTGATCCTGCTACTTGTTTGTCAATGTCATCGGGCAAGTCCTGCTGTTGGAGAAAAATTTCGTAAAATGCACCCCCCTCGAAATTTCCTACGCTGATGCGATCCTAACCCATTCCCTATCCTCATCTTCGTGAACTCTCCCCAACTTTCTACCTGTATTTTCGGAGTTCTTTCTGCAGAATCTCCCACTCCCCCACCCTCCACCTCACCCTCCGCTCCCAACAAACTACCGTCGTGCCTAGGGGCAGCGGTGAAATGAGTATGTACACGTGTTGATTCTGTGAGTAGAACGAAGCAACAATCGAACATGTCTCAAAAGTAAATGCCACTCTCCTCGCCCCCCCCCCCTTCAGGTGAATGCGGCTTCCTCGCAGATGCGATCCAAACGTAGGACCGCCACCGATTGTCATTGTCAGTGACTTTGTAAAGCGGACACAATGCCTAATTGCCACACTAGTATGGAATATGCGCAACGAGGGCACACGTCTTAAAATCTAACTAAGCCCTAAAAACTTCAAAGTCCAAGATATGTCATGATCAATTCGAATATCAGTACTTTGCAGATGCGTCGGCAGTAGTATCGGAGTGATTGGAAAGGCGTTAAAGAAGCAACTGGTGATACCGGATTGGCCGTCATTCACTACAGAGATTACAGAGCTACACAATTTCTGTCGTCAGTTCAAAGGAGGACAGGTACTGTAGGTATATAAATTAAAGGCAGTTGGCACGATAAATCCCCAAGACGACTAGGATCAATACTCTGGCAGGATAGAATTCCGCGACCTGGGCAGGCGCTGCATAGCGGTTTCCCCGAGGAAGGTGCCCTTATAAGGGCCCTATCAAGCCACAACTTTACGTCCCAAACGCCTTCCTTGCCCGCCCGCCCACAAATGGACGACCGTTCCTGACGCTCGTATTCATTCATTTGCTAAGCAAATTATGAAGCGAAGGGATTGGTATGAAGCGGCCGTGATGCTGCATGCATAATGGGTACACATATGCAGCCGTATCTTCGGTAGCGGTGATTGGCAAGATGCCTACGGGAAACTCGTCCGAAATCGATTTACAAGTCACTGAGAACGGAGGCTTTTCCTTGCGCAGGATTTTGACCGTTTCACTCCCTTTTCCCTTTTCCCCACCATAGAGCCCCTAATAGCTTTTAGGCTAATAGGAACCATTCGTGCGATTGCCTTCAAGGGTGAAGTTCTAGTCGTTGATCCCCGTTGGGATATGAAACGCATTCAGCTTCTTTTCAGTACCCTCTTAGACAAGTTCAGCGCCGATTTACCTCCCTGGTGGCCCAACGCTGCATCATCATCTGAACTTGGCACCTTCTCTTTCTAACGCCCAGACTTTATCACTTGTTAGCAATTCGCGTCAACCAATAATGATCTTATCATCCTCTCTCTATATGTACCAATTTTGGGACAACCTTCCACTGCGCCATGAATTTCCGGACGGAAATGGCCTGAGAGTTATGAGTATAGGTGTTAGTGCTACTTTTATTATGAATCGGACACTTTTCGAGTCAACTCGGGCACTTTTCAAGCAAATCAGACACACTCCGAACGTCGAACACTTTATTCACCAGATCACACTAGATTAGGCTTTTGGCAGGCCAGCCCCTCCCGGACAAGCTACTCCCACTTCTCAGCGTGGCAATGGTTCTTAAAATGTATTTTGTAACTTTGTAACACAACTTCAATGACTTTTTGCACTGTTGCTGTTACGCCTACACACTCTAACCATAACTAACCGTTGACCACCGACACACAGAGGACTCTGCCCACTTTTCAGAGAATTTGTTGCGGATTCCGAATTTTTATAATTTTCTTTCCTAAGGTCGTTGTTTTCATTTCCATCCTTCCCACAACGAATAGTCGCGCATATGTGACACACTAGCCTGCTCCCTTTATCCAAGTCCGCTTTTGCGTGTTTTGCAAATTTTAATACCTTTTTTAAAATTTTCAAGTTTTTTGGGCTACTACGGGTGGCTTCGCCCGCCATGGAAAGCCCCGCCCCTTCTGGCGAAACACTCCGATTTAGAATGTGATCTGCTTAATCAACTGTTCAGTGCAAGGAGTGTGCCCGATTTGGTTTGAAAAGTGTTGGATTCAAAACGAAAATGGTATTATATGTTATGGAGGTAGATATTCTAGGTTGCAACGTACATTCCCCAATTGGCGCGAGCAGATCCAGAAGCATTCGCAATCTCTGTTTGCACTGTTGATGGCCAACGAAGGAGTTGGGGTGACGCCATAAAGCCGTTTTGTCTTCAGGTATTCCCTTTTTTTCTTTTTTTGTGTTCCAAACAGCTTCTAATAAGAGAGTGTAGGAAGCGATAGAAAGAAAGAATAGTGTGTAGGATCATTACCTTTGAAAGGTTTTGCAACATGCAGGAGCTAAAGAATGACCTAGTTGAATTAACTAATTTTACTTTTGCTTCCATGGATTTTACTTTGATTTTCTTGTAATTAATGGGAAAAGTTTTTTGAAACCCTCGTCAGCTATTACAGTCGGTTTCCAAACCGTTTACATACGCCTTGGTTCACGATGAGATCGGTCCAGATGACTTGCACAGTTATGTCGGCCAGGAGCCCAGCGGACGGTTATTCAATGACATCTCTCTTGATCACAATAGTGAGTTACATTGCTCGTATTCATAATATTTCTGGAAAGCAAAAGCTCATTTTGAGCTATAGGATGACAACTTCAAAGTATTGTGCAAGGAAATGAGAACCTGGTCACAATGTCCAAACAGCGGGGTTTCCTCCCAGGCACAAATGAAACCTTGATAGTGTATGTGTATTATATCTATGAAAAGATCATTAAAAACCGTTGTCGGTGAATAAAGTTATAAGGCGGGGAACTTCGTGATAAATCCATTAATAAGTGGGCAGTCTTCGGGGGAGGAGTCAAGTGTACTACTAAATAAAATTGTATTCAAGAGTCTTCATGTGTAATAAACAAAAAATGTGAAGACTACTATAGATGCAGTATATAGTGTACAATTTGTCTAGTGTGAGTGGAAATTGTGTCGCGAAAAGGGGCGGGGTTATCTGATGGCGGGACACACTGTAGACTCCATTACATGCCCCCCCCCCCAGATAACTTCGCACCTTTTTGACGCAACACAATTTGCACTCACACTAGACAAATTGTACACTATATACTGCATCTATGGTAGTTTTCACATTTTTCGTTTATTACATATAAAGACCCTCGAATACAATTTTATTTAGTAGTCCACTTGACTCCGCCCCCGACGACTCCGCCCACTTATTAATGGATTTACTGGAAATTTCGCCACTTTATAATTTTATTTAACGACCTGCGTTTTTGGTTGGTCCTTTCACAGATATATTCTACACATAAAAGGCAATTTTCATAGTAGCCAAACTATGCCCGCCCCCTCTGCCACGCCTCTTTTTACATAATTGTATGTGACTGTACCGGAAAAGCGTTAAAAGAGTTATCACAAGAATGCTGAGTTGTGGGCAAAAGTCGTGCCCCAGGCGGGAGTCGAACCCGCACCTCACGCTTTCCGGGCGAGTGCGCTATCCGTTACGCCACCAGGGCCGCTTTTACCCTCTCAGCTTGACGGCTTTTATGCCGTAGCCTATCAGCACTCACCAAAATAAACGTGTGAGTGCTGATAGGCTACGGCATAAAAGCCGTCAAGCTGAGAGGGTAAAAGCGGCCCTGGTGGCGTAACGGATAGCGCACTCGCCCGGAAAGCGTGAGGTGCGGGTTCGACTCCCGCCTGGGGCACGACTTTTGCCCACAACTCAGCATTCTTGTGATAACATTCGGAACGCGTACTGCGGCGTTAAACAGCAGTTATCATAACAAAACAGCTTCAAAAGCGTCTTAGAAATTGTCGTTCAAGTCCACCAACCCTATTCAAAGGGCGTCTTCTTCGCTGAAGGGTTTCAGCCGGCGTCTCCAAAACGTTTGACGAAGCACGTAACATCCGGACACGTACTGCAGTACTGGAGTGTTCTGATAAGTTGCCTGCTCACCTCTTAAGAGCAGTCAGTTAAAGCGACATAATGTACAATCCTCATCATTACGGACTGTCGGGGCGTGTCAGTGCGGCTGCGTTTGGCGCGGTACCGAAGTCGTTCTGCACCAATTGTTGAAGCGGGCAAGTGACATTACTGTATTATATCCTTCGTATTACTCGTTTTCTACCACTTTTTGTCGCATACGCGTTTCAACAAAAAGGCTGAGAACGGCTTCAACAGTGTGCGCACTCCTACTGGCTGACACGCCCCGACAGTCCGCAATGATGAGGAACAGTACTGATCGCGATGGTGAACCTCGAGGTAACGTCCGCACAGTTTTGGCCAAAAATCGACGCAGCTTTCCATAATTGGGCTGCAACCAAGTCTGTTTGCCAACCATTCCCTGGGGGTCAACATCTTCCTGAAAACGTTTCCCTTATCAGTGATTTTGATGGGATCTAAAGAAATGGTCTGGGATGGTCTCGATGTGACAAAGAGGGGAATACTGTACCCTAGGCATACCCTCGAATTGGCCTCTCACCGTGTATCCTTCTATCACCAAGCTGTTGACAGGGTACAGCATCGTGACCTGTGTTGAACTGGTGGTGTCAGTGCGGATCCGCGCCACCCTCGCCCTCCCCCCACCAAAAAGAGGGTCTCGGTGCGACTCCTCCCCCTCTCCCCAAGGCTCACCTACGACTCACCACTTTCCTACAAGTTCTCAGCTTCCTACCAATTTTCCGAAGTTTCCCATATTTTCCAGTTTTTCACCCAAAATTTCCTTCGAAGTGGGGGGGGGTCGTCAGAAACCAACTACTATAAAATATTTTCAACTATCGCAGATTTCTAGTTGTAGTATAGAAACTTTGGCGACGCACCATCCCCCTAGGACGGGGGGGGGGCGGAAACCAAAATGCTTTGCACCGATGCAAACAATGACTTTAGTACAGTCGTCATCCTTGCACTTGATAGGGGCGTGTCGGCGAGAAGGAGCGTGCACACTGTTTGAAGCCTTCTCAGCCTTTTCGTTGAAACGCGTATGCGACAAAAAGTGATAGAAAACGAGTAACACGAAGGATATAATACAGTAATGTCACTTCCTGGTTCAACGATTGGTGCAGTACGGGTGCGGGCGACCGCGCCGCACGCAGCCGCACTGACATTGACTATCAAGTGCAAGGATGACGACTGTATATTGACGAATATCGATCCGAAGCACGTTCTTCAGTGAGCGGCCGAAGTTCGCGATTTCGAAAAAAATTGTGGAACTTCTCGATGGTTGAGCGATCATCACCTCTGATTTGCAACATTGCAGAAAAGCCGCATAATCCGCTGATCAACGCTGGAGCAATCGTGGTGGCGTCTCTGATGAAACGTCATGCCTCACTATCAGATCGCTTTGACTTTGTAAGCGAGAATTAATTGGTTTTCTTCATTAAATGGAAAATACTTAGACATAGCAGAGGAACATAAACATATTAAATGCTTTGAGTAGCCTCGTACTCCAATCAAAAATCTTGAAGCAGCGTTCATACTTCGCGACAGCAGCGGCGATCGCGGCGACCTCGGCGATCGCCGCGATCGTCGGTACATGGCAGAGCGCGCCCCAACGCTATTACTTGCGCTCCGAAGGCTTTTGGGAAGAAGCGACTCAATTTCATGCTTTTTTTTCCTTTAACTGCGATTCTTCAGGTACTGAAGCTTGGTTTGACACAAAGAAAGGTGAACCCAAACTTAATGGCTTTTGTTTTCTATTTTCTTTCTTGATTCAGGATAGAAATGAGCAAAAAGCGTGAGAGCTTCATTTAGGGTAGGTTTTTATTGTTTCTTTTTTCATTCGTCGAGCTTATACATGAGGTTATAAAGTTTTCACCTGTTGATGTTGCGTAAAATGATTAGTGTTTTGGTTCCTAGGTGAGTTTCTTTCTGTTTCTTTTTTTTCTTCGTTGTTTGAACTCGACTTGTAAACTATAAATGTTTTGGAAGTTGGAACAGTTCAGACGATAGGAATTTTAAGGCGCTTGCATAAATTGAAAACAATAAAAACAAAAGAAACAAAAAGCTCAAACCCAAGGAAGTGGGAGGTTGGTCCTCATCCTGACCTAAAAAAGAAGTGAAACATCAAGCGAGCAGTCCATAATAGCGTTGGGGCGCGCTCTGCCACGTACCGACGATCGCGGCGATCGCCGAGGTCGCCGCGATCGCCGCTGCTGTCGCGAAGTATGAACGCTGCCTAAGGTAATGGTGTTAGTGAGTGTTAGGAGTCTTTAGCAGGGCATGGAACGAGGGTGGTGTGGTGATTCTATCTAGCGCGTGGGGTGGGCGGAGCGAGGCGGCGTGGCGGCCGCCGCGTACGTGTTTTGTTGCGTGGCGTTCGAATTGTTAAAGGGATCATCGACCCTTTAACAATTTGAACGTTTGGCGCGATCACGTTACAGTTACGTGTTGTAACGGGTTGGATTCATCTGGAAGTAGGTTTGCCTGACAGGATTTGACGTGTGGGCGATAAGAAAAACCGCGCCAAGCGACATACACCCAACGCCACGCAACAAAATGTCAATAATCAATGCTTTCATGTTACGCCGTGAACCAACGCTAACGCTTTGCTCCAATGATAACTCGGGAGTACGGTAGTGCAACTCCGGGATTGCCGCGTCGCGGCGTGCCGCGCAGCGGCATGTGCGGCGTCGCCTGACTTGCCGACCAATAGAAATCGATGCGGGTCCCAATGGAACGAAAGGAAGTAACGACAGGTCCATGGCCTAAAACCTCTCTTTGATGGCTTGTTCAGCGAGTTTTTTAGTTATTTTGGGCACCTTAGCAGGTTAAGCAGTCCCTGCGCTAGGGAAAGTCCCCTTTAGGGCGGCTAAAGTAAGTAACGAAGGCCTACGGCCCACGAGGGCCAGTTCTGACGCCATCTTAAGTTGCCACCGCGATAACTAGAATTAGTTGGATGACATGAGTGAACAATTAGTGGGCTGGAAGCGGCAGGATATCGCTTTGTTGGCATAAAACGAGCAGGTCCGAGAACGCATGCAGTGAGACTCTTCACTCACTCAGTTTGTTCTCCATGACTCTTCTCTTGATTTTTTCCTGAGGTTCATATCAGCGCAAATAATAGGTTCGTAATTGAACGCTCGCTAATCCACAGCAATATTACAAAACAGGGTTTATCTTCCAACTCCCAACTTTATTCGTTCGATAAGCGTCCCTGCGTAATACCTTTCATCGTTGACATTTCATGTTGGAAAGCAGCTCTGATGATCTCTCAGTTTAGTTACAGAACCAATTTTACGCTTAGGCTAAAGTTTCAAAGTAATCCCTTTGGCGGGATCCCTGATGCCGGCCTTCTCCATCAATTCGAATTAGAGGAAAGGGAACAGGGGTCGAATATCCCTGGTTGACACAGTATTGACAATCAGTTGCTCGTTAGTATGCTGAGCGAGGGGCACATTGTTGTTGGGATTCCCTAACACGGACGGCGTTCATATTAGGACTGGCGGAAGATGAGGCTCCTATTTGGTCAATGGAGAGTGTTTCTTTGATAGCTGGTTTTTCTTGTTTCAGGGACGTTGTTGGGAGGTGGGAGGGTCGTATCTCCCCCCTATCTAACCTTCTGAGAGATGTTGCTGATTTTTCGTGTTTCTTTCTTCTCAATGCACCATATATTCCCTCACTCACGTGAAAGTCCGCTCGACAGCGAAATTCTGGGTAAAGGTAACTTTCGGGTAAATGTCTGAAAAAAAAGATTGAAGGATGGGGAAAGTCCTAAGCAGGGCACCGCGTCCGTGTTGGTAATCATTTCCTGAAAAATAACGAATCCCCCCTAATTCTATACTTCAAATACTAACCCCCTCTCAGGTGGAAGAGGTCGTCAGGATTTAACTATCATTTTCAATAATCGGAAATAGTGGTTGTATAGATCTTTGACAGTCCCTATCTCAACAACAAGCGTAAGGTTGAGAGAGCGGTCGGATTTCTCCCTCGCGATTTCCCGTTCAACACTGTGCTATCTATGCCTCCCCTTTTAGCACAATTCGAAGGCTTCAGCATTTTGCAGCCCGACTGAGTTTTTTTCATTCCCTTCATTGGATCCACGCAAATGGGTTATCTCTCTCAATCTTTCCATAAAGTTGCCCTGAAATCCTATTTATACTGAAGATTATTCATCGGGATAAACTAAATGTTTGAATTCAGGCTATTCACCAAATGAGGCGATTTTGCGGTTCCGGCTACGTGGGCTTTAACAACGCTGTGTGAGATACTGTTTGTTATTTTGGGCAGCCGAATATATACGCACATGAAAGTGACGCTTTAGTTTCTTTCTGAACGCGAAAACGCGATTCGAAATTAGCTCTTTCTACTATAATGAGGGAAACAGGTGAAGCAGGCTAAGAAGCAGCTGCCAGCTACAGAATGTTGAGGGCATTTGGTCATTGTTATCGACAGAAGAGAGAATGTACATCCTCAATGCATGCGGACTGCGGGGCGTGTCAGCCAGAAGGAGTGCGCCACACTGTTGAAGCCGTTCTCAGCCTTTTTTTTGCAACGCGTATGCGACAAAAAGTGGTAGAAAACGAGTAATACGAAGGATATTATACAGTAATGCACTTGCGCGCTTCAAAAACTGGTGCAGAACGACTTTGCCAAACCGCACCAAATGCAGCCGCACTGCCACGCCCCACCGGTCCGCAATGATGAGGACTGTACAATGAACATCAGTTCCAGGTATTCCCACCTGATACGCATCTCCAAGAAACCTTGGATTTATACTTCCAACTCTGCTCTATTGAAACGAATTGTGACACACTTGGCAGTAATGGCAGCGACCTTGTCCAACGGCGGAGTAAATCCCTTGAACGGCGAAAGGGTTATCAATAACAGGTATGTACCATTTTGGAGGTTAGTGATCATGAAAAGGTCATGGGTGGTTTTCCAATTAAATGCCTTCGCCGTTGATCAACATCCTTGTGAGATGCGGCACGCATTCTACTTCCATTCAGAATCGTAGTGGCTTATTGAATGCGATGTGGCCTATACAATGACTTGCGGTGGCCAGCCGATGTACAAGTCAGTGTTTATCCTCCCAGACGAATCTGGTACCAATTTACCGTCCCCGGAGGGTAGAAGGCTTGGTTGGCCTGGGCTGGTGTCGGCCCGGGTTTTTCAACTAGAAACATAATTTTTCCTCATTTCAGTTCGTTGTTACCTAGATCTTTGTCGATTACTGCTCACCCTCAACTTGAAACCTCTTTTGAAAAACTGAAAAACCCCTGCAGGAACACCTTTATTTGGAGCATGCAAACAAAATATTCATGAACATTTCTATCTCTCGAACACTACAGGGCTTGCCGCGACACGCTTTCGCTGATGTACTCCTGTGGCATGTACGACTGGTCAGGACAGTTTGCGTTCAGGGTGAGAGTTTTCTGTACAGTTATTTTTTGCGCATTGTCGCGCCACATTGTTCTCTATTTTTAAACTTACTTGAATTCGAAATTAATTAGAAACTAATCAATTTCCGGTTCGAGTAATAAATAGGAAAAGGAAAGCCATTCAGCTGAGAGGGCAGGAGTGGCCCCGGTAGCGTACTAGGGAACGCAGCCGCACGGAAAGCGGAAGATATGGGCTCGAATCGCCCGTGTGTCTGACTTTTGCCCACAACTCAGCACTCTTGTGATAGCTAGAAACTAATTAGATGTTCAGAGACGAACTGTACGCTTGGCTTCGACCTCTGAAGGTCCTATGGGCGAAGTGATTGGACTCGCAGCAGCAGTAACGTGCCACTTTTTCCGTGGAAGTGCACGGAAACAAGGCTGGAGAGTAGTGGTGCCGTCTAAATAGTCCGTCCGCCTTATCCTCAAGGTGCAGCGCTCGCGTCGGTACCAAGGTCCAGCAGCGAACCATGCACTCAGCGGTACAGAGCAACCAGAAAGCATCTACAAGCAGCGCGTTTGGCTATGGTTTGGTTTGGGCTGGCCGTACTCCAGCGCGGCCGGAGTATGAAGCGGCCCCGAGAATCACTTCCCTCCAGCCCCGTCCCCGTGTACCGGGGTAGAAGTGCGTTGTGCCCGATGAAACCTTCCAGTTTGAGGAATTGCGATGATGAATCATGCTTCTGCAATTGTCGGCAAGTGTTTCAACAAAATGTAGGTCTTCTTGCGACGCCCTAATCTCTGATGAAACATGCCAAACAATGCCGCAAAAGCGTCGTTCTTTAGTGGAATTGGAGGGTTATTGGGTGCAGTTCGACGACGGGGGCATTTCGCACTTTGGCCACTTCCATCGACGTGTGGAGCCATCGAGAGAGCCTTACGAGAGTTGACAGGACAGAGTTTTATCATGGTGGGCTGGACGAGCCTGCTCTAGCTAAACAAGAG